GAGCCAGTTTTAAACAGCCTAGCCCCTGCCGTGGCCCCTCCTCCCCTCACCCAGCCCTGCTTCTTCTAGCTCATCCCCTGCTGGCCTCCTTTTCCCCTACCTGGGCTGGGATGCACGTGGGAGCAGGAGTCTCGGGCTCCTGTCCCTGAGCATGTTCCTTTATTTGACAGATGCTTGTTGGGCTGTAGACTCTGAGTCTGAATGCTGTGTGGCCATGTCCGAGCTGTGTGAGCTTGGGCAGGCCACCTTACCTGCTCTGAGCCTCATTAACCTTATCTGTAAAACGAGTCTAATAACACATCCTTACACCTCTCAGGGTTATTATGAATAGACTTAAGTGAGATTAATCATGCAAAGCCCTTGGCACAGTGCCTGGCACATGGTAAGGATTCAGCTGATGCCACGATTATGTATCATGAGCTCCTACTATGTGCAGGGCAGGGTGAAGATGGGACTGGTTAGGACTGGTCCTTGAGGGGATCGCAGATGGCAGATGGCAGGGATAGAGAAGATGATGAAAGTCGATAGTCAGTGATGAGCATTGTTAAAACAAGGGCCTGACACAGTGTGGTAGAGGGTCAGGGAGGGCTTCCCAGGAGGAGGTGGCCTTGGAGAAGGAGCAGGATTTGAACTGGGGAAGCTGCAGGAGAGGGAAGGGAGGGCAGTGCGAGTGGAGGGATCAGACTGGGGAAGCAGGGAGTGCGAGGTGTGTGCTCAAGTGCATCTGCCAAGGACTGGCAGAGGTGGTCACAGGCACTGATGCTCTGAGCACCTACTGTGTGCCAGGTGCAGGGCTATGCCTTATAAGCACCATTGCTTCAAGGCACAATCCTATTATTATCCTAATGGTATTAATACAATGGAAGAAACCCAGTCTCAGAGAAATGATCCAAGTTAGCTTGTCTGAGGCTGTACAGCTTCTAACAGAAATGCAATCCCAGGTGTGAGACTCCCAAGCCCCTGCTCTTAACTGTCCCCAAGGAGGATCTCTGTATCTAGGCAAACTAGTGGGAGAATGGCTTCGATCCAGCCTTGGGGCCAGTTCTCACGAGGGCTCTGAATGCCACAGAAATGGGGCTGGATTTTAGAGCAATGAAATGGCATAAAATGAAATGGTCAATTCCATGGCAGTGGGGAGCCATAGAATACTCTTGAGCTGGGGATATGCTTTGAGAAGGCAAATCTGGCAATGGTTTAGAAGACAGCTGGGGCATCAGAGAGAGGCTGAAGGCGAGAGGCCAGGGTGGTGGCTGTTGGCAATGGGCCAAAGGAGAGGGCCTGGAATGTGGAGGGGAGAGAAGTGTTCGCCCCCCTTCACGGGCCTCAGTTTCCCCATCTGCAAACTGAAGGGGTTGGACCGAGCTCTAAACCCTGCTGCAACAGTCTGGTCATCTGAGTGAACATCTCCCTAGCTCTCTGAGACCTCAGGCGCCCCAGCGGGCCATCAACCTGTGCGGCACTGTTTATTCACAGGGAACTGGAGGCTGAGCCTTCCAGAGAAGGATGATTTATAAGCCTCCTAATGAACACGTTGATATTTATAGATGCAAAGAGAGAAGACAAAAAAGTAGAACCCCTTCTAGTCATTTCTATTCTGGCTTCACTCAAGTGATACTAATCGCTCGGAACTGACTAATATTTTGTTTACGGATTGAAGACTGATGGAAGCCCAGGAGCCTCTCCTTAGAATAAAGCTGGAGTCTTGGTACCAGCCTCAGCTACACCAGACCCCCAAGTAAGTCAGGGGTGCTGTCCAAGTGGGGACACCGGGGCAGCCAGGCTGCCACCATTGGATGGAACTGCTTGGCTGGACAGCCACAGGTCCCAACCCCAGGGATGGGACCTCAGAAACCCGTGTCAGATCCGAGATCTCCCCCTCCCCTGTTCTCCCAGAGATGTCTTTTGTCCCTCATACTTGCCCTGTTCATTCATTCAGTAGAATGTCCTGAGCACCTGCTAAATGCCACGCACTGAGCTGGGTCCCCAGGATGTACTGGTGAGTCAAACAGTCACAGCTCTGGACCTCACAGGAATGGACAACATACAAACACACATTTAGGTAAGTAAGTGAGTAAACTGGAATTGGGGTTAATGCTCTGAAGGGAACACAGCAAAGATTATCCACGATTATAGGGAGAGTCTACTTGGGGAGATCATGGAGGGCCTCTCGGAGGAGGTGACCATTAAGCTAAGACCTGAAGGGTGAGAAGGAGTCAGGGTTGCAAAGAACCAGGGCAAAGAGCATTCCTGGAGGAGGGAACAGCATATGCACAAGACCTGAAGTAGGACTTCACAGGTCTGAGGAACTAAAGAAGGCTAGAGTGGGTGGAGCTTGGAAAATAGCCTGGGGCGAGGCCAGGGAGCACTCCGGGGCCAGATGCCGATGCTGTGCAGAGCTCCGGAAGGAGTGCGGAGTTCATCCTAAGTATAATAGGGAACCACAGGAAAATTTTAACCCATCTATCTGCCATCTATCCCAGCTTAGCCTCCACTGTGTGAAGCTGGAACATTCCTTACAGTCTCTGGACCTCAGTTTCCCCATCTGTATGACATCTAACTGTCCGGTTTGGATATGCTGGAATGCTAGAGGCCAGGGAGAAGAAGGGGCTGGCCAAGAAGGGTGGAGAGTTGAAGACCTGGTGGCCAGCTTCAGTGGGGGCGGGGGTGGTGGTGGCATGCACAGTCTTTCCCTTAGCTGTCCCAGACAACCAGCCCTGGAAACCCTGTGCCTTCAATGCCCAGGAGAAACTGAGGCCAAAGAGGGGAGGGCCTTGGCCTCTCTCTCAGGGAGAACCTGTGACCCACCCCAATTCCACCCCCACTTCAGGAGCACTGGTGAGCATCGGACGGCCCCAGGAGACAGGCAGCAGCTCTGGCCTCAAGAAAGCCATGGCTGCGCGTCCTCAGCAGGGTGGGGCAGCCCTGTCACTGGAGCCTCAGGACCCCTGCACCTCCCTTGGCAGAGTCACCCATGTCCATCTGTCTGCAAATAACAGTTTACAAATGACACTTGAGACCAGAGGGTGGGCTGGGTTTGGCAGCTCTTGTGCCCAGAGAGACGAGGTGATTTGTCTGACATCGCACAGCCTGGAAGCTCCCCCAAGCTCCCACCAGTCCTCTGATCCCCACTGGCCCTTTCCTTCCCCCTCGCACAGTGATGGCCTCTCTCCAAGTCCTCGCCCATGGGGAGCCTCCCCATCTATCTCCAAAGTCACCTGATCAGAGGAAGCAGTAGGTGGAACGGAAGAGTAGGAAAGGCAGGCTTCCTTCTTCAGAGCCTGGCAGACCCAGAACGGCAGGACCCTGGGGCCCATGCCCCCTCCCACCTCCTCTCATATGATCTAATGCAGGATTCTTAACTCAAGATTTACAGATAAAGCTTGTGGGGGCCTCCAGAACCCCTGAAATTGCCTGCCCAATGATGCAACATTTTTTTTCCTAGGGAGAAGATTTGTACTTTCCACCAGATTTTTTTTCAGAGTAATCCTTTTATAATTCCAACAAGGGTACAAACCACTGCACAACCTCCCTTCCCTCCCATTTCCCAGGCAGTGAAACTGAGACCCAGAAAAGATGGCTGATCTAAGAGTTGTGGATTAGAGCACAGGCTTGGTGCTCCGTCTGCCTGGGTTCAAATCCCAGCCCCATCAGTTACTGGGTACATGGTCTTGGAAAGTATTTAACCTCTCTATGCCACAGTTTCTTCGTCTTAAAAATGGCGGTGATAATAGTACCTCCTGTAACGTTAGAAGAGCTAAATGAGTTAACACATGAAAGATTTTAGGTCAGTGCCTGGTCCATTAGTAAGTGTTCCATAACATTAGCTGCTATTATTTAATCAAGGCCACAGAAGCAAGTGGCAGAGCCTGGTCCCCTATATCTCCCTGGAGGCAGATAGGAGGTTCTGTATCCCTGGGACTTCCAAGAAGAGTTCGTGATTACAGCCAGAGCCGGTAGTTACTGATCAAGCCCTCCCCAGCATCCGCCCTGGAGGCAGGCTGGCTGCTGGGGGGAGATGGGGGTGAAGAGAGAGAGAGGTGGAGGAAGTCCCAGGCTTACTCCCAGCTGGGGGAAGGGGAGGAGGGGCTGGACATCAAAGAGTGGGCAGGCCAGTTTCCCGCCCCCAAGGCCAGGTGGCCTTTGTCAGGACAGGCCGGACACAGTTGGGACAATGGGGAATCGTGTTCACTTTCCAGCCGACAGGAGTCACTATTGAGCCAAGACCCAGCCTGTTACATGACAAAGGGGGGACCCATAAAGGAGGTCAGGCTGCCCCTCATTAAAGCTGAGTCTTTGTCCTGCCCCCTCCCCTGCCTTTGAAGAGTGGATCAGAGAGGCCTGCCTGGGGGCAGGAGGGTCGCAGGCTCAGGAGCCAAACAGTAGCCACCTTCCCAACTGCTCTGGCTCCCCTCCCCCAGGGTCAAGAGTTCAGGGAGGGCCCTGTGAGGTAAGGTAGAGACCCCTTGCCCCAATCTAACCGAAAAGGTTTTTCAGCCCAAAAGATATGACCCCCCAGTCTCTTTACCGTAAGATGGGGAGACTCAGACCTGGAAAGGAGAGGGACCTGCCCATGTTCGAATGGGCAGTGGGTGGTCCTTTCTGGGGAGAGTTTGCTGCCTTTGCTCGGGGGTAGGTTAGGAGTGGAAGAAACGCACCAGGACCACCAGGGTCAGTGTTGCTACAAGTCTAGGGGCCTGCGTTCCAGTTCCAGCCTTGCCCGGAAACCACAAGGCACGTTTCCTCAGTTTGCAGCGGCCTCAGTTTCCCTATCTATACAGAAAGAGGGTTAGGTTGTGCTTCTCAGGGCTCCAGCAGGCCGATTCAGCAGGGGGAAGCTGAGAGAACAGCCCCCCAGGACGAGAGCGGTCAGGAGGGCCACACGGCCAGGAACCCGAGCAGGCCCAGAGAAGAGGTCAGACGCGGGTGGCCCAGGCCGCGCCAGAGCACCTGCGGTGGAAGGAGAACCGTCCGGAGGCGCAGGATGAAGGAGGGGTCCTTACCGCTGCCACCGCCGCCTCCGGCCGCCACGCTGCGCCGCATCCACTCGTAGGGCGTCCGCCTCTGCGCTCCGGGCGAGGACGGTGAACCCGGGCCGCCCAGGGGCTGTGCCAGGAGGCCCGGGCCGGGCCCAGGGGGCGCGGGCACCGGGCTAAAGTCCGGAGGGGGCCCGAATGCCAGAGGAGCTGAGCTGGCGGCGGGGACCGCGGGGACCGCAGGCCCCGGGCCATAGGCGGCTGTCCAGTCGTCCTTGGGCGCAGGGAAGGGCGCGCCCCAGGCCGTAGGGGGCGCGGGGGTCGGATCCACGTGAGAGTAGCTGGCGAAGTCGGGGTACTGCGGGGGCGCGGGGGCCGGGGCCGGGGGGCCGTAGGCTTGCGGGCCCAGGCCGAGACTCGCGGGCCTGGCGGGGCCGGGGTACACGGGAGAATCCTTATCCAGCACATAGCCCACATACATGGTGGCTGCGGGGCCCCCCGCGCATGCTGGGCCCTGGAGCCGCCGCTGCCGGCCGCCCCGACGACGCGCGACTGCTCACCTGCACTCCCGGCCCTGCGCCGCCCGCCCCACCCAGGCCTTTTATAGCTCCCGGCCGCCCGCGGCCCCAGCCGGGCGGGTTTGCATTTCAAAGCGGGGGGAAGCCTCCCGGCCGCGAATCAAAGGGGGAAACCCGTCGGGGGCGGGGGGTTCAAAAGGAGACAAATTGCGGCCCCGAGCGGGAGGTGGACTGGCCAGGGCCTGAGAGGGCAGGGGCGCGTCCCCGGCCAGGGTCGAGGCAGCGCCACGTGTGGGAATCGCTTGCCAGGCGAGCGGCCTTGCGGCCCGAACACCTAGTCCTGCCCGTGGCCGCGCGAACCGTCCCGCCACCCCGCTTTGCAGGCGGAGAAACGGGCTCACAGGGGCAAAGGGACCCCAGGCCAGCGTCACGCAGCCACACCGGGCCTGCGGCGCACTCTGCAGTGACCAACTTGTGGGGAGGGGGGCAACTCGACTTCAAACAGTGTTCCCGTCTGTAAGGTAGTGGGTCCTTAATCTTTCGAGGAGGAGGGGTCACGACCCCTCTATCCTGAAAGCTGTGGACGTTTTCCCCTGAGGAAATGCACGTATGCACATACACGAGTCTGCGTGCAACTGGCGGGGCGCCACCTGAGGTGCTCTCTAGAGAAAGTACCCAAAGGCATGCCGGGGGAGGGGGGTCTTCTGGGGACATTACAGGAAATTTTTCCAAATTCTCTTGGCGACCCCCTGTCCCCTTTTTTTACTGAGAAACATAGACAAAAGTCGAGTTGTATAATGAACTGCTGTATCCCCATCACCCAGCTTCAACAATTATCAGGGTTTTGTCACATTTCATCAACTCCCTTCTCTTTCTAAAGTATTTTAAAACAAATTCCAGACATCATGTCATTTTACCCCTACATACTTGAGCGTGCATCTCTAAAACACATGGACATTTTCTTACATAATATGCCATTAACACATCTAACAAATTCACTCAAATTCCTGGGTATTACCTAACGCACAGTTTGTAGTCAACGTACTCGGCTTGATTCAGCAATGTCTTTTTAGCAATGGGTTTGGGTGAATCAGGATCCAAAACCCTGATCCTTTTATTATAGCTGGGGCCCCCGTGGTATTTTAAATGTATCATGTGCGCCCCCCCATTAAGGACTGGCAAACATTTTACAGTGATGGGAGGGGGGTTGGAAGGTGGGGGCAGGGAACACTGGAGGGGGCATCAGTGAACTGGGAGTGGGGGGCAGGCTGAGGGACTGGGGAAGGATTCATGAAGGACAGGGCTCTGGGTCAGGAAGCCTGGGGGAGACAGGGTCCCTCCCCACACGGGCTTCGCGCCAAGGAGCTGCGCGAAAACCCCCTATGGGATTTGATCCTCTGACATTTCCTAGGGGCCCCCTCAAAGTGCAGGGATGTGTGGCCCCCAGGAGGAGGGCAGAAGCAGGGTCTTATCTGTTCAACCTGTCTCTCTCTTGGGTCTCCCTATTAACCAGGGCTGGTCAGCACCATCTCGGGGCTAGGCAGATGTTTCGGGATCGGGGCGTAATTTTCAGGGCCCAGTGCAAAATGAACATACAAGGTCCCTTGTATCAACAATGATTAAGAATTTCAAGATGGTGACAGCAGAGCATTCAACCAAGCATGGGATCCTTCTGAACACTGGGTGACCTGCCCACGAAGCTGGCCCTGGTCGGAATCTTGCTCTTCCGGGGTTCTGGTGGATACTGAAACAGAGCTGGGGACTCGGTAAGCCCAGGGCTCCCCTTCCTGCTCAGAGGAACTCTTTCCATTGTACCGAGAGAAGCATCGAGGCTCAGGAAGGACAGGGGGTCATGCGCGCTGTATGCAGCAAAACGAAGGCTGCTGAGGGAGGAGGAAAGTGGATGCCTGGGGTGTTGCTGACAGGGATGAGCACTTGGCTACCCTGGAGGAGCACACAGCTGTGCCACGTGTGTCAGGTGCTTGGAGGAGCACCCGACACGGATGAGCACGTGGCTGCCTCGGCACACAAGGCCCCGCTTTCCCAGGTCAGGAAGTGGACGTGGAGTTGATGTTTTTCTCAGCAGTCATCTGGAGCTCTGGGCTCTGCTGGGGACCCAACCTTTCAAGAGGCCGGTGAGAAAGTGAGAAGTACACGGAAGAGGGAGAAGAGGCCCAGCAGGACTGAACTCCACTCTCTGAGACTGTGACTGCTCAGACTGGCAAAGCCCTGGAGTGTGCACTGAGTTTGGGGAGGGGGACAGGACAGGCCTAGGACCTGAGAGAGAAAGCTGTAGGTGCAGACAAAGATTTCAGCCCATTCATACATAATAAAGTGCTTTCTAAAGGGCCATCCATCATGAAATGGGCTGTTATGAGAGGGAGTGAGCTCGCCATCACAGGAGGTATGTAAGTGACTGCTGGAGGTTAGTCTCCAGTTATGGAAGCTGTGCAAAGGATGCCTACCCTGAGAGGAGGTTCGTGCTCTCTACGTGCCCTCTAATTCCAAGAGTATGCTAAATCAGACCTAGATGGTAGGTTGGGAATAGGTATAAGAATTCATCTCTTTATGTATTCATTCGTTTGACAAATATATATTCACACATCTCCTTTGCGCTGAGACTGTGTTAGGTACAGGGTTAGGCCCTGCTCTCGGGGTGTTTATAGCTGGGGGTTGAGGGTGGAAAAGTGTGACTCAAATAACCACAAATAAAGGTAAAATGACATCTTGGCAAGGGCCAGGAATAAGGAGATTTGACCCAGAGGGAGGAGCAGGGAAGCCTTGCAGGAGGAAGTGACAGTGACATGTGAGTCAAGGCCCAGGGAGTGGGGAAGGGCACTGGGGGCCAAAGGTCAGTATGAACAGAGGCCCTGAGGCCCAGGGGACGTGTTCCCCTAGCGTTGAAAGACCAGTCTGGAGCGCAAGGGGCAGGAGGCGAGTCTGTGAGGGGCAGGGCAGGCCTGGTGGGCCAGGCCTGATGACAGGTGTGGGACGTTATTACCTAGGGTCTAGGGTGGTGGAGGGGGGTGGCAGAAAGGCAGCTGAGGCTGGTGTGCAGAGCATGAGCCAGGGGAGAGACCGGGAGCCCAAGAGCAGCAAGGAGCTGGGCAGGGATCCAGGAGAGATAGAGATGGTGGTCAGGACTCAGGTGGTGGCCGAGAGGTGGGGGCCAAGGCAGCACGGCACTTTCTGAGCAGAGCAAGGACTGTTTTCCTGACCAGGGAGAAGGCAGAGCCAGGGAGCCGGGGACCCACCCCCACTGCTCTGTGGTCCCCTCAGTACCGTGCCCTCCCAGGGTGGATGTAGCTCCCACTCCGCTGACACATCCTGGGGTGGGGTGGCCTCCACCGTTCCCGTGTGCCCCCACATCCCGAGCTTCCTGACTCCTAGCTCAGTGCCCTCGCGCTGCGTCTCCCTGAGATTGCAGGGTTTGGCCCTTTCCTTTGTGCCGGAGTAATAATAATAATAACAGTAACAGCACTGCTATTTATTGAGCATTTACTCAGTGCCAGGTGTCATGCCAAGCCCTTTGCACGTGTTATCTCAGTTCATCCTCACAACAGCACAAAATGAGGTATAGTTGATGGTTGTCCTCATTTTGCAGATGAAGAAGCTGGAGCTCTGAGAGGTGGTCACCTGCCTGAGGCCACGCACACGTCAATGGCCTATCTGGAAGTTTTTCTTCCCTCTCCAGCTGATCCCACCTGCCTCTATGTTCCTCTCCGCCCCCCGACTTCTCAGCTGGGACTTTGCTTAAACAAATGGCTGGTTCCTCTTCCTCCTCTGGCTTCTTCATGCAAAAGAGCCTCGCTCTACCCTTGCCCTCACCCCTAGATGGACCCCCCCCAACAGAGTCCTGAACCAGCCCAGATGTGGCACCACCAGAGTCCCCCTTCTGAGGACACTGTAACCTTGTTTAAAAGTCCCAGGCCAGGAGTCTGAAGTTGCAGGTCCTCTCCCACCTTGGCCTCTGACTCACCATGTGACCTTGAGCCTCTGGGCCTCAGTCTTCCCGTGTGCCCCCTGGGGGCTGGTTGCCTTAGACAGCAGTCCAGCCGGCTCTGTGCGTGGAGAGGCCCCTGTCTGCCCTGTCCTGTGAGCAGCCTCTTCCTCTCTGACAGCCCCTTATCTCTGGGAGTGGTTGTTTATTGGACCCCTCCTTCCTCTGGCTCCCGGGTAGGCCCCTCTTCCTTCTGGAAGCCCTCCTCCAGGCTGCTCTCACACACTGCGCCAGGGCCTCCTGGGGTGGGGCAGGAGCCGATGGCCTCATAAAGATCTTAGTGATAACTTGGTTTTTAAATCGGGTTTATGGCCCTGGAGGAGAAAAGATTCTGGACTCGGCTTTCTGTTGGCAATAGTTTGCTTAAGAGAAGCTGGGCACCTCGGTGGGCACCAGGGTCAAGTGTTAGGCCCACTGTGCCCCCACCACTAGCTTGAAGTTCTCTCTAGACTGTAGTCGAAGGGCTTTGGACTGGGGGCCAGTTCCAGCCAAGCCTAACGTCACTCTGTGATCTTGGGCAAGTTAACTGCCCTCCCCGAGTCCCTGCTTCCACCTCAGAGGGGAGGATGGTAATTCCTGCCCTTCTCATCTCCAGGCAGAAGACAGGTGAGGCTCACAAGTGGGTGCGGGGGCTCCTGTGAGGCATCTGTGCCTTCCAGACCCCTCTCCTCCCGACACCTTTCCCCTTCTCCTGCCCCCGCCAGAGGCTGGGGCGCCACCTGCTGGCAGTCCAGGGTACTACTGGAGGAAAAACCTGGATGCCACTGATGTTGTCCCGGGGAAAGACGGCCGTGTTGGATAGCAGTCCCCCCCGTACACACACACTTGGGGAGCAGGGAAGATGCTAGAACCAGAGGCCCAGGGCACAGAATGTCCTTATCAGAGGAGCACTGTGTCTGACTTGTTATGCAGAGGAGGTACAGAGGCCAGGGAAGGAAAAAGGGTCACCCCATGAGTCAGTGGTCAAGCACAGACTGGGACCCAGAAGTCCAAACTCCCCGTTGGGATGCATT